GGCCTGGCCCTGGGAGGCCACCCTGGAGGAGCCGCACAAGAAAACCCATCTGTGGTAGTGATGGGGTCCTGGCAAGGGGGGGGGGTATGAAACACGGAAAGAGCCCCTCTAAACCCCCAGGTAGTCTCATGTTAGCTGTCAGCAACCCTGGGAATAAGTTCCGGCCTCCAGAGCAAAGTAGAGTCTTTGTTGCCCACACCCAGCTCTCCTGGCTCTAGCAGCACAGAAATATTGGCACTGGGAAGCGAGTCTGCCAGTATTGGCTGTGCTGCTCCAGGCAGGGTGGTGAGAGCTACTGAGAAGGGGCCGGGCCCCGAGGGAGAAGCAGAGGAGAGGGAACGGCAGCTGGCAGCACCATACTGAGAGAGTTTTTTATTATAGTTTTCTGTATAAAAATGTCCATCGGCAGACGGAGGTCAGAGGGTGAGGGCACAGGTTTATCAGGAACAGGGCGGCCAGCTCCAGCGGCTTTCTGACCCTCTCTCATGCAGTCCTTGCTTAGAGTCCCAGGTGATCCACAGGTCCACAGTGAACAGTGAGGGTCAGAGTCGGAAGGCTCAGCAGGAGAGGAGAGGAGCATCAGCAGAGGTGGAGAGAAGGCCAGAGTCTAGGGTCAGGCTGTCTGGAACAGGGAGGAAATGGACCGGGATGGAGCAAGCACGGATGTGTTTCTAAGAAAACCCTCACCTTCTCAAGCATCATCACTAACTGACCCAACCCCCTGCACTGAGTACCTTCCCTTCTGAAGCCCTTGCACAAGAAAGGGGCTTCTGCTGGTCCCTCCCCTACCGTCCAGGTGAGTACTTCTTCCCCACCCCAGCCAGTGTGGGAGGAGGAGGAGGACTCCTACCCTGGTCAAAGTTGAGTTTCTTGGCTGGAGGAGTTTCTCCTAGCCCTTCTACATCCACCAGGTCACTGTTGGCATCGGAGTCGTTCAGAGCACTGAGTGTCACATCTGGGAGGGGCATAGGCTAGGTTCTAGGTCTCCTGACTGCTTTCCCTCCTCCCAGTCTTCAAAGCTTCATGCTCTATACAGCCCTCTGCCCATTTTGGGATCACCAGAGTACAGAAGCACCACCTGTCCTTCTCTGACCCAGGCCCAGTTCTCATTGAATCTCAAATAGGACCTTCAGCCCCTACCCTAGGCAGCCACTCCACAGCCCTCACCAGCCTTCTGTTTCTTTAGGGGAGGGCCCCCAGCTTCAGGGACACTGGAGCTGCTGGGTGGAGGGGCGGCTGGAGGTGAGAGGACCCCAGATGTCATCTTCTTGGGTCCTTTCTTGGGGGACTCAGTTGTCAGAGGGACGCCAGAGTCTTCATATACTTTTCGCTTTACAGTGGTCTTTATCTGAGCCCTGAAGAGAAGAGGAAGCAGATTAGGGAGGCAGTCATCAGAGAAACCGAGGGAAGAGGGGAGGGGAGGAGTAACGGGCCACTCTGAAGGAATTCTACGAGTTTCTTCATAAGTATCCAGATCAAGGCCCTAATCCATGTGTAATAAGGGCCCCTCCCCCCAGCAGCTCTGCGCCCACTCGGGGTTATGAAGAATGGCCTGCCTGAACAGAGCAGCCAGAAAAGCCCTTTTCATGAACCTCTGGGAGAGAGATGTGGATGTGTAAGGCCACCAGGTATGTTGTGGTGAGATAAAGGCAGATTGAGACTTTTTCGTGGATCCTGACCAGCTAACCGGTTCAGAATGCAACCCTGGAAATGCTAGTCTCAAAGGATTTATAGAAATAGCCAGGGAACCCTCATCAAATACACCCATGGAGTATCTGGGCACCTGAAAAGAAAGTTCTCTGAAGGTCCTAATTACCATTGCATTTCCTCAACTTCCGATCAATTGCCACAATTATTATGGTCTTTCAGTCTTCAAGGAAATGCTAAAGAAACTAGCAACAAAGTAGGAAAGATGCTGAGCTGGGGAGTCTGAGAAAGAACAATGGGTAAGGAGAAGAAAGTTGCCCGCCCCTCCCCTTTCTCTGCCAGCCACCCTCCCTCACACTGTCCGTTCCTTGATGACACAGCTGATGTGATTAAGATCGTCCCCAAATCGCTTGACAGCAGCCCTCAGCATCTCTATCTCCGTCTCGGTCCACTTGGCGCTGTCGGAAGGGGAGAAGGGTGATAGCAAAAACGGAAGGAGGAGTGTGTGGCGCCAGCCCACAGGCTATTCCGTCCACAGCCAAACAGCCTCTTTCCCCTAGTCTCTGGGGCACCTTTCAGAGATTCCTAAAGAGGACCTCCCTAAGAAAAGCCCTGGGGACAAACCGCTAGCCACATGAAATTGCATCCAGAGCCACCTGAAAACATCTCTCTCCATCACGTAACAGCTGCTCTAAACAACCCACGGAAACGAATGCAACAAGTAGGGGCCTTACAAAAGGAACCCTTGAAAGATGTGTAGCAGCAGCGTGGGATTCCACGCGGCTCGGGTTGGGTGGGAGACAGTATGTCGGTCTGCAGTGGCGGATTGCGGATCTGGCAGTATCGTCACCTGCCATTCACTAACTCAACAATGACTAGCAACTACGCCGCGCTGGCACACGGGATTTAATACAGCTCCCTGCTAGATCTAGAGAGGGTCTTGTCTGTGACTGAATCCAAGCGTCTGCTCGCGGCGTCCGGGTCCTAGGCTGGTCCCACGTACCCGGCAGGGGAAGAGTCCGATACTGGATGCAGCTGCATAGTCAGCTCCCCGAGCTTCGTGAAGGCGGCGCCGGCCGCGGAGAAGATCTCTCCAACCTGGGGGCGGAGCAGCATTACGGGGGGCCGGCGGCGCGCCGTCCCAGCCCAGCCTCGGATCCGCCCGCCCCCCGCCCAGCGCGCACCAGCCGGGAACCAGGCAGGGGGCCCACCCTCCCGTGGCCGCCAGGGAGCGCAGTCCGCGAGGGAGGTCGAACCTTGGTGGACGCTGACGTCATGGCCCCGCGCACCTCCTCACGGAGACGCTCCGCCGCCACCACCACGCGAGCTGGAAACCACGGAGAGCCGGGCGGCCGGCCTCTGGGCTCCCGCGCAGGAAGTTCCGCCCTCCTCGCAGCCGATTGGCCAAAACCCGACCTCTCCCCCGTCACTCGCGTAGCCTCGCTGCGCGGAGGAAGACGAGATGGAAGACGTCGCCTCACTTCCGGCTGGCTTCAGTCCACTTCCGTCGAAGGGTCGGGACTGCTCGTTGAAGCTGTGCTCAGTCTTTCAAAGCCCAGGCCCGCCCCCTCCCTGCAAACACGGACACCAGGCTTAGGAGAATCGCTTCTTTTTATTGTAGTCCAGGGCGCGCTCGGGCCCGGAGCAGAATTTGCAGGTCCCAGGGGACGCCAGATGGGTGGGACAGACGGGCTGAGGAGTCTTTAAATAGGGGAGCGGGTGGGGAGGGAGAGCCGGGCCGCGCTCTAGCGCACCATGTACTCCTTTCGCTTATTGAGCCGAACTTGGCAGAAGGAGAAGCCGCCGAGGAGGAGGTAGAGGCCGGCGGCGATGAAGCAGTTGTAGCTGACTTGCTCGTACAGGCTGTATATGTTCTGCGGGCCGTTCCTGGGGATGGCGAGTCAAGCAGGGAAATGTCAGTCACTCAGAGCACCAGTGCGCACGGCCCGCGAGCCAGACACCACGCTAAACGCTTTGACTTCTCTTGGTCCTCCTGACAATCATGCCTGGCCAGCTCTATCATGGGATCCATTTTGCAGAGGTATATTAAGGCGCAAGCAGGCAGAATATTGGGAGAGGCCACGTCTAAGCTGGTGGAATTGGGGTGGCCACGGAAACCTGGCTTGCAAGACTGCTCCTAAGTGCTTTTTGTTTAAAACGGTTTAGTGCTGGGGATTGAAACTAGGACCTTGCATGTTAAGCACAGTTTGCCACGGAACTGCTTTATAGAGGGCAGCTCTCCTCTTGCAGTTCCCCAACCTTCAGCAGTGTCCCCCACAAAATTCTGAGCCTACACCCGGCTCCCTCTCATTTGCACCCAGCCTCACCTAAGTACCCGACCACTTACTCAAAATCTTTCTCTGTGAAGGGAACATCCTCAATTAACACAGCGGAGTGGACATTGAAAAATATCCCGAGCATTATCTGAAAGAACAAAGGAATAGGCAGGTTGTCAAATTCTGGCACCTTACCTCTTGGTCGCTCCCTATGCTCCTCCCATTTCTAATATTGGCTCAACAGAACAGTAGAAAAGGTTAGGAGTAGGGTGGTTGTAGCTGGTCTCGGAGGCCTCAAAGGAGTCTGGAATAGGGCGTCAGGTGGGACACTGGGAAGAGGGGCTGGGTTCAAGGAGGCATAGCAAGCAGCTCTCCAAGACGCGTCATTATCATGGGACTAGGCGGAAGAGGGGAACCCAGCACTTCATATTTCCAAAGTGAAGCCCGGTGAGCCCTGGAAAAGCAAGGCCTCAGCTAGCATTTTCGGGAGCAAGCACACTTCTTCCTCACCTCCATCCAACTCAAGCATGTCTCGGGGGCCTAGCTCTTGCTTACCTCAAGGGGTCCGCAAATTTACCGGCGCTGGCACCCATTCCCAGGGTCCTGCCCCATCACCCTTTCGCTCTAGTCCTCAATTTTTTCGATCTAAGTTCCGGCTCGTTTCCCAGCGGCTCATTAGCCAGACCCTTAATCTGTCTGCCACTTCCAAAGTCCTGGGGGTTCCTGGCCTCCCAACCCGTCAACCCCGGAGCCCCGCAGGCCCGCTCCGATTCTCGAGGGGCACCCCGCTCACCAACATGATCACGCCCCAGGCGCTAAGGACGATGCCACAGGCGGCCAGCTTAGGCCCACAGCACAGGAGCGACGCCATGGAGGAGAGAGGGAGGAACCGCTAGAGGCTGAGCGAGGCGCAGAAGCGGCCAGAGGGAAGCCTGGAGACGCCGGGGACAGGGAGCTGGATTCAGGGACTTGCGCGGAACCGAGCGGCGGGGGCGTGGCCTTAGGCGTGGACCACTCCGAGGGGGGCGATTGGAAGAGAGCGCTGCGCCACGCGGCGGGCCGAGCCTCAGGCGGAGCACGCGGTGTCAGAAGCCAAAGCAGCAATTTACAAGTCCTCCTTGACCTAGGTGGCAGGGACGTGAATGCTACAGGAACTAGGGCCTGATGATTCTTCCTCTTCACCTACCCCGTCTTGCAATGGAAGGCGCGGGCATCTCACGTGACCGACTTGACAGATCACATGACCAGGAACTAGCTTTAACCTGGCATCAGGAAAGAACCTCTTCGGAATAGGGGCCTGCAGAGTTCAGTAAGGTACTGTTTCGTTAGGTCGAGAAGCTCGGGATCGTCTAATTCCACACCCCACACACATACCTTAGTCTCCGGTGGTCTTCTGTAGTGGGGAAAACGGTAAGCGAGACGGTGGAATTACTCGCCGGGCAGGTCTGTCGCCTCTATCCTGGTCTCCCTTCTGAAAGATGCTTTGACACTTTGAGAGGAAAAAAAAGGAGCCCCTTCCTGAGCCTTAACATCCTGCTTGAAGGAACGCTTTTCATTAGTCTCGGCCTTCTTGACCCTGGAAATGCTTCCCTTGCAATACAGTATCATTCCAGACGTCACGTTCAGGAAAAATATGGGGCTAGGAAAAGCAGGCTCGCCGGGCGGTGGTGGCGCACGCCTTTAATCCCAGCACTCGGGAGGCAGAGGCAGGGGGGATCTCTGTGAGTTCGAGGCCAGCCTGGTCTACAAGAGCTAGTTCCAGGGCTGGAGAGATGGCTCAGTGGTTAAGAGCATTGCCTGCTCTTCCAAAGGTCCTGAGTTCAATTCCCAGCAACCACATGGTGGCTCACAACCATCTGTAATAAGGTCTGGTGCCCTCTTCTGGCCTGCAGACATACACACAGACAGAATATTGTATACATAATAAATAAATAAATAAATAAATAAATAAATATTTTTTTTTTTTAAAGAGATAGTTCCAGGACAGGAACCAAAAAGCTACGGAGAAACCCTGTCTCGAAAATAAAAAAAAAGAAAAAGAAAAAGAAAAGCAGGCTCAGTGGAGTTGCTAAATGTGGGGGAGAAAGAAGAAAAGACACAAAGAAGTCACTGTTGCCTCTCTCTCCACTAAAAATGCTGCAGGCACACCAAGTAAGACAGGACGTAAGATGAATGTGTCTTGGTCACCGTTCAGGGCTGGGAGGAGACACCATGGCCAAGGTACCGCTTAAGAAGCATTGAACCGGAGCTGGCTTACAGTTTCAGGGGTTTGGTCCGTTCTCATCATGGTGGGGAGCGTGACAGCACACATGGTATGGCCTGGAGCAGTAGCTGAGACAGACGTCCTGATCTGGTGGGGAGGGCAGCACTGATGGGGCCTGGCAGATCCCACCCCAATGACACACCTCCTCTGTCAGGGCCACACCTGCTAATCCTTGTAATCCTTTCAAACAGTTCCACTCCCTGGTGACCAGAAATACATGGTCCTATGGGGCCATTCTCATCCAAACCACCACAAGATATGTTATAACCAAGAATAAGGCTGGTCGGTGGTGGCACATGCCTTTAATCCTAGCTGTTGGGAGGCAGAGGCAGGTGGATCTCTGTGAGTTCGAGGCCAGCCTTGTCTACAAGAGCTAGTTCCAGGACAGGCTCCAAAGCTGCAGAGAAACCCTGTCTCAAAAAACCAAAACACACACACACACACACACACACACACACACAAAGCCTTCCTTTCCAAAACAAATTTGGTAATAATTTGAGGGTAATCAGATGTTTAAAGAACACTCCCTCCTCTCCAGGGCTGGGGTTCAAGCTCAAAGCCACCAATGAATAAAAACTTTGCACCGAGATTGGTGTACCCATGCTAGTAAGGACAATAGTCACAGAATGATTGCGAGAATACATTTTAATCTCAAGACTCCAGGACCAAACCGAGGAACACTGTCATGGACTAGAATCTTGTGACATTTTAAAAATTTATTTTGTGGATATTAGTCTCAAAATGGCTGTGAAAGATAACTTGTGAAACAGTGATTACTGGGTGTTACAGGCCTGAGACAAGGGTTTTCCATTTCTCCTAGTGACTGCTGTAGAAGGAAGCTGTTGGAGAAAGCTTTTTATTTGGGACCAGTAACACCCTTATTTAGGGATATTCAGGGTATTTGTTCAAACTGGAAAAATAGGGCTGGAGGGGAAATTGTCAAGGAAGAGAGTCAGGAATTTACATGTTGGCCATCGAATATGAGGGCTGGTTCCTGGCAGAAGAGACTAAGCTGTAATAGTTGACTTCACCCAGAAATATCATTTTCCTCTCCTCAGCCTCTTGGATGCTTTTTAAACTGGAATTTTTGGCCTGAGGCCTGTATGAGGTTAGACCAGATCTAATCTGAAATTGTGCACTTTTATCTTCATCTGTTTGCTTGTTTTTGTTTTGTTTTGTTTTTTGAGACAGGTTTTCTCTGTGTAACAGCTCTGGCTGCCCTGTAACTTTCTCCATAGACCAGGCTGGCCTTGAACTCAGAGGTCTGCCCCCTCTGTCTCTGTAGTGCTGGGATTAAAGCTGATCACCACCACCACCAGACGTTGTTTTTGCTTATAAATGGCTGAAGGAAAACAAGCCAAAATCCTATCTGGTGACTTGTGAGGTTCACATCTCAGTGTCCACACACAGTTTTATTGGAACATCGTCACACTCATAATGTCAGTGACTGCTTTAGTGGTACAGGGATAGAGCTGGGTAAGAGTGGTAGAATGTGTATGGCCTACAGAGATGAAACTATTCCTCTTTACAGCAGAACATCTAGTGCCCTGTGGCAGAATACTGATGTGGAGTGTGTTTAGTTGAGGAAGAGATTAGTCTTAGCAGCAGACGTAAAAAGGCACAGAATCAAGAGGGCAGTGGCAGCCCTGGTGCTGATGGGATTGTTCTGAGTGCTGGCAGCTCGGGCTCAGATGGTGATGCTGTTCTCTATGCGGCTGGGCTTGAGGTATTCATAGGGCAGGTCGAGTTGCTCATTCCGGGCTATGATCTCTCTTTCCAAATTTCCCAGATCTGCTTGAAATTGACTGAGCACAGTTTTGGTCCTGGGGTCTGAGAAATATTTTTCTTTGTGTTGTCCTAGAGGTACCTGAGACAGAATGGATCATTCAGCTTCCAGCCTGAAGACACCAGCCCCTCATGCTGATACCTTTTCCCCAGTTGTTACTTCCCTCTCCTTGGTCCTTACTCACCATGTCTGGCTGGAGGCGACCCAGATGCCATGTGATGGTCATTTGAAGACAGGACTTCTGAATATCAGGTAGCGACCCCATCACCATCTCCATAGTCACCTCTTCCTTGTTGGTGGGTGGAGGCATCCTCATGGTGCACGGAGCATTGGGTACCCAGCCATACCAGTCCAGCTGGTAAAAGAAGCTACTCTAGCACCCAGACATTAGGATTTGAATTCCCACCTCTCCCTTAGATAGCCCAAGGTCCAGACACGCGCTCTATGGGCCCTGGGCCCTGAACTCCATACCTGGCCCTGGTTGATGGCTGCGTGCTGAGATGTACATGTGAAGACACACATCGTAAGGAAATGGCAGAGCTGAGCCCGGGTCTGGAAGGAGACAGGGAAACCTGGCCAGGGAAAGAACAGGACTTAAATGCGACAGAGCAAGAGGAAAGAAACGCAGGATGCTCTGTATTTTAGGACGGGTGTGTGTGTGTGTGTGTTTAATTTATGTAGCTATATTTGTATCAGATATAGGTTTCAGCACTGGCCTAATTTCTTCCATCTTGGTTACTTTAGATCAGAGGTTCTCAACTTGTGGGTCTCAACCCCCACAGGGGTCCCATATCAGATGCCCTGCATGTCAAATATTTACATTTTGATTTATGGCAGTAATAAAATTACAGTTATGAAGTAGCCACAAAATAATTCTGTAGTCGGGAGTCACACAACATAGGAACTGCATTAACATAGGGACAGCGTCGGAAGACCAGTCAGTCACCTAACTTCTCCACACTCCAGTTTCCATCTGCACAGTGGATGCAGTGGTGCGTGATGTAATCCCAACTCAGAGGCAGGAGGCTCAGTGAGTTCCTGGCCATCCCGCACCACTGTCTGGACTACACAGTGAGATCCTGTCTTTAAACAAACAAACAACAAAAAAAAAGCATCAAAATGATCTGTTTTTAGATAGTGCTCAGCAAATAATAGATACTGTTATTGTGGAAGATTAAGGGCTGGACAGTCAGTCATCCCTAGTCGGTTAATGTAGGGGCTGGAGAGAAGGCTCAGCAGTTAAAAGCACGGGCTGCTCTTCCAGCAGTCCTGAGTTCAATTCCCAATACCTACATGGTGGCTCACAACCATCTGTAATGAGATTTGGTGCCCTCTTCTGGCCTGTAGGGATACATGCAGGCAGAACACTGTATGCATAATAAATCAATTTAAAAAAAAGAATTAATGATGTGCCAGATGGTGGTGGCACTCGTTTTAATCCCAGCACCCAGGAGGCAGTGGTGGGTGGATCGCTGTGAGTTCAAGGCCAGCCTGAGTGGGCTACAGAGCTAATTTCATGACAGCCAGGGCTACACAGAGAAACCCTGTCTCAAAAAACCAAAATAACAATAACAACAACAACAATAATAATAACGTGTCTTCCTATTTCTAGATAAGGAATTATAGTCTCTTAGTTATACAATGGAGAATAAGAGAAGTCCTGAGCTGGGCCTGGTGGCACATGCCTGTAACCCAACACTTCAGAGGTTGAGGCAGGAAGAACATGAGTTCAAGGCCAGCTTTCATTGCAAAGTAAGTCTGAGACCCAGCTAGGCTAAATGACCCTGTTTCAAAACAAAGTCCTTCTGGGTGGTAGTGGTGCATGCTTTTAATCCCAGCACTGGGGGGGGGGGGGGGGGCAGAAGAATCTCTGTGAGTTCGAGGCCAGTCTGGGCTACAGAGCTAGTTCCAGGACAACTAGGATATACAGAGAAACCCTGTCTTGAAAAAAACAAGAAAACTAAATAAAATTCTGAGTTTGTCTTATGCCAATTATTTTGCAGTGTGTGTGGGAGCTTTGATTTGAGCTGGTCCTTGTAATTACATCTGCTGTCTGATAAGAACATCAAAGGGAGGTTAAATGCTGGTTGAGGCTGTCCAGGGGAGAAAGACTGACTCTGAACGCATTCCCGGCGGCTCTCCTCTCACTGTTTTAACTTTAGCACACCTCCTCGAAGTGCAGCAGCGCATGTGGCAAAAGTGAGCTGTGCGTCGAGAGAGAATAGAGAGAGGAGGGGCTGAGACGCTGTTTGTGAGGATAAAGCTAATATTTATGGTACGGAATGGATGTGTTTCCACCCCTAAGCTATTATCCTGAAATTGCTTGCCTGTGTGATGAGGTTTGGACATGAGGAGGCTTTGGAAGTTTATAAGGTCAGAGGTTAGAGCTCTCACGAGTGATGGCAGTGTCCTTGCGAGACAGGACAGAGATCTAGTTTGTTCTTTCTATGCCACATGGTGCCATGAGAGTGACCTGTGTCATCTGGAAGAGCATCTGCCAGACTCAAACATGCTGGCACTCTGACCTGAGACTTTTAGCCTCCAGAATGGTGAGAAATAAACTTCTGATGTGTAAGCCACACCGTTTGTTCCACTTCATTATTTCAATCCCAGCAGACTGAGACGCTGAATATTTATTGTGAATTTCAAGATGTAGTACTGCTTGCGGAGATGGCAAGGGAGACATCTTTCTGGACATCTGAAGCCAAAGGATCAGGACTGAGAAACTAGAGAGAGCTTTTTCCTGCAAGAGTAGGGGTGTTAAACTCAAGGAGAGGTTTTCTTTAGGGGACAGGTGTTTGCTGCACTGCAGGGTCTGGCTGTGGTGGTTCCACTGTGCCATTAAGACACAGTGGATGGGATTCAAGGTGGTAGTCTCAAGTGTGGAGGGGCAGTGGCTGGAAGAAACCTCAGAGCCGGAAGCCTGTTTAACCCAGGAAAGGCTGGTTCTTTCCGGAGTTAGGGAGGAGGATGGAAGCTGACTGGTGGGAGGGGTGCTAGAGAGTGAGGATCAGATTAACTGAAGAAATCTGAGCCCCAAGAATCGGGACCCTGAATTCAGTTCTGAGCCATAGCGTGCAGATGGTATTGTCTGGCATCGAGAATGACATCGCACTTTGGCAAATGTACAGCGTGCCAGAACCCTGTGTGCGTGGACAGTAGCCGGCAGGAGGGAAAGGAATAGCCATGGTGGGACATGATGGGCTTTGGTGGGAAGTCTTTCCATTTATATCTCCAGGCAGAAAAATAGGGAATCATGAACACAGAGCTCCATAAACCCCAGCAGGTTGTGGTTCGGCTCTAGCTGAGTCCAGTATACAACTATGGCAGGTTCTAGATATAACTGAGTATCAGCTGTTGGCTGGGGCCTCTTTAGAAGAACAACCGAGGTATAGGATGCTTCTGGGTATTTGGAGGCATGGAGGACGCTGTCATGAACGGAAGGGCAGATGTGACTGGAGAGTTCTGTCCCCCAGGTCTGGGGAGGGACCCTTGTTGCTGGGACAGATCTTACCTCTGTCCTGGGCATGGCACAGTCCCACCTCAGTGATCTCCCAACACCAGGCCTGCAGCTCTGGGTCTCCCCTCACAATCTCATCACTCTGGTAGAAGAGGTGGACCATCCCCTCCACGTACCTGCCCAGAGAAGGAAGCTGAGCTGAGAACACGGGCTCCAACCTCTCGCCTCTGGGGCCACCTCTCAGCTGGCTCTCACTGTGCCAGGGTTGGATCCTATCACATTTGTGTTTTGAAGTTTTAATTTTCATTTAAAAATTCAAGTAATTAATTTATTGCAGCATTAGGGATCAAAATGAAGGGTTTGCTCGTGCTAAGCAAGCATCCTGAGATTAACACCCCAGGACTTGGATATATTGATGTAAGGAAAAGCGGTAAAAGTTAGTCATTCTAACTGCCCATGACTGCTAGTCACTCCAGACAAAACCCTGGTTCTTCCAGATCCCCAGCCTCTGCTCTGACAGCTGTCCTCTCCTGTGTCCTGCCCCTAGTCTAGTCTCTCCTTTTAAACCTGACAACTGACCCCACCTGTTCCTTACCCCACTCTGGAGAGACACTTTTTGTCGCAAGCCAGATCTCACTCACCTGGCAGTGACTTTCCAGAGCTGTAATGCGTCCTGAGCATAGAGAGCACTTGGGATTCTCAGCAGGCCTCGGTTGGCCAGGTCATCAGGAGGACAGAGGGAACAGTAAGTCATTTGGGCCATTGCCCGAGTGAGCAACTGAACATGGCCCCCTCCACCTGTGCTCACTACCTGGGACAAGAAAGTTGACAAGTCTTGATGGATGAAGTGGGGATAGAAAGCCAGGGGCTGTACGGTGCTCAGGCATGGAGTTTTCAGGTTTGAAGTCACATATATGAATGGACAGGACTCATAGGTTAAGACTGAGATTTTCACAGAAGTTGGTCTGGCATCCCCAAGTGTTCAGACCATCAATGGAAGCTGGGTGATGAGGTAGCACCATACCCCCCGACCCTTACCTGATCAAATATTCCCCCATCTGAGATGAGCTGGGTCCGGCTTCGTGTGTTGATTTCCATAGTGTAACGTATGTGGGGAACTAGGAGCTGGGTGGAGATTAAAGGGGGCTGTGCTCGAGACCTTCCTTGTAGGACCTTACACTTATTGTCCTCTTGGTGCTTTCGTTCATGCCGAGGCCTTGACAGGCTGGACTCTTCCTTCTCTGGTCACTTATTCACATTCTCTAAATTCCTCAGGAGTTGTCCTCTAGAGCCGTGGTGACTAGGATTTCAAACCACACCTTACCACTCTGGTACCAAATTAATTATTACTTAGCATGCAAGCCAACAGGGGGCAACAGTAGGCTCTTACCTGAGGGAGCCGTTCCCATGTGTGACTATGTAGGTGATGTGTTTGTAATACCTAATAGCAGCTGTTATTCATTCTCTTTATTTCCATCCTGAGTGTGGGTGTCTTTTAGGAGCTCTCAGCGCCTTTTGATTTTCTTTTATTCTCTCATTTATATCCTCATAGCTTAAATTAGCCTGAATATTCCTTATCAAAACTGCACCTTTATTCTTTGCCTATTTGATGCTTGGGTTTCTTCGGGAGTGGCTTGTGGGGAGGGTATTTGAGGCTGTCTGCTTGCACGGTAGAAGTCTCAGCATCCATTCTGTCCCCCAGCCTTGATGGTACTGTTGGGTCTCCTCTCTCCTTTTCCTCGGCTCTCATAAAACTCCACCTCATTCTCATGCATTCTTTTTTGTCTTCTTTTTTACACAGCTAATATTCATATTTCATCTAATTTTGGTATTTATCTGAATTGCTCAAGCCAAACACAGGAATGGCCCAAGTGATCTCTTTGATTTTGAGATATCAAGGCAACTCACATTAGTCTGAGATATTTTTGGACAACTCACACAAGATTCTGAGTGTCACAGAATGCCCCAAGTCACAGGAGAAGAAAAGATGACTGGAAATAACTCTGAACACAAATTTCAAGGACTTTTAGATAGCATTTAGCATGTGGCACATTACAGCCTATGCCGTTTGTCCCTTAACAACCTAACAGACCCTCTGTCACAGTTGAAATGTGCACAGCTAGGCTGGAGATGTAACTGGTTGGCAAAATGCTTGAGCAGCGTGAACAAAGCCTCTGGGTTCAGTTCCTGGCACTCCATAATCTGGGTGTGGTGTGCATGCCTCTGATCCTAGCGTGAGGGAGGTGGACGGAGGAGGACCGAGGAGGTCTTTGGATTAGAGAGCTGGAGGCTTGTGTGAGACCCCCGTCTCAACATCAAAACAAAACAAGAAAGTGGACGTTTGGAAAATATTAAGGTATGATTTAGGACTTAGACCCTGACTGTCAAAGTAAGGTACCCCTGGGACATCGGCACATTTAGCCCTACTGTGTGTCCTGTGACAGACAGCAGTTTGCCATGGGATGTAATCGTTAGGGCAGATGGAGACTGAAGGAGACTGAGCCAGAGGGGAAAGTGTCAAGTGTGAATATAGGTTCTAACTGTACACATGGAATAGCAGGTGCAGGTGCATCATGGAGGAAATGAAATCCAGGATTCTGTTAATCAGCCTGTGTTACCTGAAGGGGTCACAGCTAGACTGGCCGGGCTTGGGACTTAATTGTCTTCCTTACCACGTTCCTACCTTGAATACTCCGACAGTGCTTTATACACCATGTAGCTAAAACAGACACCCCGTTTTCCTTTACCCTAGCCCTGACAATCACCCCCTTATACCATGTAGCTAAAACAGACACCCCGTTTTCCTTTACCCTAGCCCTGACAATCACCCCCTTACACCATGTAACTAAAACAGACACCCCGTTTTCCTTTACC